CTTCTTCTCTGTGTGGTACCGCGCGATCTAGCCATTTTTGTTCCATTTAGCGTTGGTCCAATGTTGCTAGGGTTTTGTAGGGGGGGTTGGTCGTAGTGGTGGTGCTTTGGATGTTTTGGAGATTAGACAAGGGGGTTGTGTTAAGAGATCTGGATTTAGGGTATGATTCAGCATGATGATGTTAGGGGGCTGTATTCAGAGATTTGGATTCAAGGTATGATTTCAGCATGATGTTGTTAGGGGGTTGTGTGTTCTGGCACTTGGCCTTGGGATTTTTTGTTTGTTTTGTTGATAATGATAGGGTGGTTTGTGTAGCATGGTGCAAAAGTTCTTCTCTGTGTTTTTCCGAATTTTGTAGTAGCATCATGGTTCTTTGTTGTTCATATGTTTTGCCGTGTTAGGGTGCATCCACAAAACCCTAGCCTAGTCTGGCCTGGTGAGTGGGAAAAGTGACTTTTGGGGTTCCGGCGCGTGGGGTGTGGGGAAAGGAAACAAACGCGAGCGGTAGGAATAGGTGGAACCAACGGTCAGTGGCTACTTTTATTGTTGTTTATTCTGAAGTTATATGTCATACATTGGCTATTTTTATTGTGCCCTTTCTTTTTGCACGAGTGATGTTATGAGGAATTGAATAAGGAATGGATAATAATATTAATGCATTCCCGGGGTAAGAGTGCTTGTTGTTTTCGAGGTTGTTGAACTTGTGAAATTTTTTTATACATTGATACCTATTAATTCATTGTTTTATATTTGATTGGAGAATCACTCTTCTTTTCTTTTTTACAATAAACCATGAATAAGATATGAATAAGATATGTTTTAACCACAGTTTGAGAATAACTTCTATGTGCTACTTTTTTTCACATATGCATGGTTCTCGTGCTAGTTTTGTTATTTTAGACGAGTGTTATTAGGTGATGTGATATTTATTCATATAGGATGTGATTGTAGTTTTTCATATATGATGTTAACCCAGTAATGCAAGATATGGCACTTTTTATTTTGATAGTTTTTTGTTATTTTCATCTGTTTTTGCTCTTTTTATTATTTTTCAAATGTGTTTACATGTTTTTAATTGTCATACTTTCTTATGTGTGTTTAATTAGTCTTTGTTTCACCGCCTTACTTTTTTTATTTATTCTGCAGGTCTCCCTCAACTCTAAACATGCCTAGACTTTACAGATATCCTGCTGGTACCATCAAGCACATGTTTTCTACCATCAGGTGGCATAAGGCAGTTTCTTATTTAAGTGATAATCAAAAGTCATTTGTTTCAAAATATGAGCTCGATAATCTTCTGAATATTCATCCTCACTTAATGGTTCCAATTCCAATTCTTAAATGGGTTGTGAACCACTTAAATTGCAATGGGACTGGAGTTTTCAGAAAGGGTGATAAAATAATTCATCTAAGAAGATACATGGTAATTCAGATTTTTGGTATCCGTTCCGGTTTTGTGCCTTTTCCTCTGGACAACACAGATCCAGTTGTCGTGGCTAGAGTGTTACATCTTAGGTCCGAGTATCTCGGTAATGGCCAGAAGAACAATCAATTTGATGGTATCATCACTATCATGAAGAGTGATGAGACCGAGGAAGGTTTCATCCGGAGCTTCTTGTTTTTGTTCATAAGTTATGTTTGTTGCCCAACCACTCGGAATTATTCAAATTGGAAAATTCTTTATGGGCTCCACGACATTAGCAAGCTGAAGACCTTTGATTTGGCTCAACCTTGCATTGATCACTTAAACAAAGAAAATGATAATTTCAGCACCAATCTATTCAATAGAACTGAAACTCCATTGAACAATTCAATATATGTTGGTGGATGCTTACCTTTAGCTGTTGTAAGTTTTATAATTTTCCCTACTTTTCTTTTTTTAAATGTATTGTTAAGTTATGCAATCTTTATTTATAGTCACTGATTTGTTGTTTCATCTTCTCTTATGGTTCCCAATATTCTTAGATTGTCTATCTGGACTTCGTGGACTTCACAAAAGCTTCTCAACAACGAAATATCAATTATGGAGTCCCTAGAATGGCATATATTCAGAATGACGACTTTGACTATCTAGCTACAGTGGACTTAAACACAAGATCAAAGAAGTCGTTTGCATTGGGATTCTTACCAGTAAGCTTGTTCTATCCTTTTTTTGGCATTTGTTTAACTGAGGACAAAAGTTGCAGAAAATAGTTTCAAACAATAAGGAGCAAATGTTTTCATTCTTAATTCTTTGGAATGACATTTTTCTTGGTTTCATGGTCTTGTTTTAAGAACAATGCAGAACTCTTTGTTGACTTTGTTTTTTCTTTTCAGCTCAAAGACATTTCTAGGACACCTTATGGTGCTTGTGCAATTTTATTGGCTGAAGAGAAGTGGTCCAGAGCCCCACAGAGTTATCACGTTGAGGAAAATGTCATTCCAAACTTCAATGACATCCCAAATGTTGCATCTACTTCGAACAGTAATCCAGAAGTATGTTTATCTGGTTATTATTAACCTTTTGTTTAGCAATACATTTTAGTCTTGTCACTTCAGTTTCATAGCAGAACTAGAAAATCAGTTGCTATATACCTATAGTCTGTTCGCAACAAACCAGAATGCATAATCTATTCCTAGTATAACACATGAGTACTAAAAAATTTAATGAGTTTTGCATTTGTAAAATGAACATACTGTGTTCGTACTCTCAACTGAGATAGGAATTTTGCTAAAAGTAATTTCCTCCTTGTCAATTAGGCGATTCTCTATTGTATTGAGATCGAAAAGAACCGAGACCCAAAAAGATAGTATCACCAATTGACAAGACTAAAATCAAACACAAGGAACAGAATCTAACTAATTTCGTTGTTTAGCAATGACATCTCACATGAGTACTTGAATGCATGATCTGTTCCTAGTGCAACATATGAGCACTCAAAATATAATGAGTTGAAGTGCTCCTAGTACAACATATGAGTACTTCAATGAATAATTTGTTCCTTCCTTTGAACATATAATGATTTTGCTAGATAATGATTTGTTCATTCCTATGTTTATCTGCTTATTATTAACCTTTTGTTTACCAATAGATTTTAGTCTTGTCACTTCAGTCTCATAGCAGAACTAATACACATGTAACTTTTCTGTCCTAAACTAATAGGTTATGAATATAATATCTCAAGTTGTTGCAAAGCATGATCAAATTTGGAAGAAGCTTCATGAACATCATGTGCAGAATATGTT